GTTCTCGCCTCCACACCTTTTAATAGCCTTAACTTACACAAAACGTTACCATGGCAAACCAAGTACACAGGTATAAGTCAAGTCCACAGATAAGCCAAGTAAAAACTACAGGATGGTCAAAAAGCAGCCAGGGYTCAATGGATATTCCATCTTACAAGCACCTCCATATTGACTGGTACTGGAAACGTTATATTACAAGTATCTCTATATTCCCAGATATTTTCCATGTTACTGGAAACTCAATAATAAGGGCACCTCCATATTACGGACARTATTATCTTACAGRTGTTTCTATATATTGGAACCCCTATATTCCGGACACCTGCATGTKTCTGTGTTTCACCTCCTKCGGTGTTCCCTGAGRTTCTACAAAKCAATCACGGGCRAWAAAAGGTTTAACCACTCGATAYTATCTCGGTTTGATAACGACGTTCACAAGATCCGGTTAACCGCGCATGCTCGCCATTTCGTACAGTTTTGTTCCTGATGGTATKCCTGTAATTTGCCATTTTGGTAGAATCTAAGTCTTCTTGTTGTTGACTTTTYGGAGTATTACAACAGAACATGCGACGTAAAATCCTGCTAAACGCCGCGTTAAATCGCTTATTYCTAACACAATAGATGATGGGATTACAGACGGAGTTAAAGTAGTGTAAAAACTTGACGGCCATTAGGTATGGTAACAGTTGTACCACGGATCTACATGCTGGGCAAAAGTTATTTAACAGCATGGTGACGAAGAATGGTAGCCAACAGATGACGAATATGCCTATGACTAGAGCAACGGTGTACGCGATGTGAAGATCCTAAAAGAAACGGGAGAGTTAATACAAGTTATRAATTATTTCTGTCGTGTGAGTTGAATCCTACCACCTCGTTGCAAACAGCGGACCATAGGCTTCTTCGCTTGTTAACACCATTTGAAGATTTTGGTGAGCTCAATGAAAAGTAAACAGCCCGAGACCCACCGATGTACTTTGAGAATCCTGGCCCACAAGACAACACCATACCATACCATACCACATAGCACCGCGCTATGCCACATTTCACCACACCACACAGAAATATATACACCATAGTACACAGAACTACACTACACCACAAAGTACCATAGCACTACAGCACAACAACATAGCACTAAACAACTCCACAGAGCATTACATCACAACACATAGCACTAAACAACACCACACAGCACTACACCACACAGCACTAAACAACACCACACGGCCATTACACCACATAACACTAAACAACACCACACAGCATTACACCACACCACATAGCACTAAACAACACACTACCACACAGAATTACACCAGCACTACACCACAGAACTGAACAACACAACACTACACCACACAGGGGTCACACAACATTACACAACATAGCACTAAACAACATCACACAGCATTACACCACAGTACCACAGCATTGCACCACAGCACTACACAACAAAACACCACACAGCCCTACAACAAAGCACACCGCTATACAATACCTTTTTYATGGACTTCCCTCTACGAATGGCCATACTCTTTCTTGCTGATGTAAATATAATGACATAAGCCAAGAGGATAACAAGCAAKGGAGCAAAGAAGAAAGTGCACGAGATAAAAGTGGAGATGAAAATCTTGTGTAACCCAGAATATAGCTTRAGCAATGGTGCAACAATTCCTAGCACCCATGATATGAATATAGCAATGTAAACGTTGCCTGAAACGAGAAAATAACAATACATTTATCAAGTTTTTCAGGGATGTATTATTCAACGTTCTTTTTTTATATCAAGCAATATTTACAACGATATCAAACAAAATAACATAAATCCTTATGTGAAGGTAAAAAATGTCAAAAGTGCACGTCAGGGGGGTGGGATGGGGATATTTTTACGTACCTTTTTTAATATTCATGTGTTTCAGCGGCGCCACGATGGCATAACATCTTTCYAGACTAATACAAGCCAAGTGAATGATAGACGAAATCCCCGAGAACATATCGACTGACAAATAAAACTCATAAACAGGGTTCGTAAAGTCCTCGGTAATGAGACTATATAACCACATCGGAACCGAAAATGTGCCGACGATAAGATCGGCAAACGCGAGCGACACAATGAAGTAATTAGTTTTTGTCTTGAGTTTAGGAGTCGAGAAAAACGCGGCAATGACCAGCATGTTGCCCAACGTGATTAAGATGCTTAATGGTACGTAGACCCCAATACCAGCATAAACCCAYTCCTTGGAAAAATAAGACCCCGATGGACGGGCCATGTTGGTATGCGAAGAAGTGTTGTTGGAATAATTCATGGTGTTGCTATGGTGATACAAAATTAAAACATTAATTAAAATGACGTCATATGTAGGATTTGCCATATATGGAAGTGGAGAGAAGGGAGTATAGTCYATATCGCAACCCGCAGAAAGCCTTGTGACGCAATGCATTTTGGGATTGATAAATGAGTAAACAAGTTAACAACGATGTCAGTGCTCCAGTTGTCTGTAACGTAGACTCAGTTTTCGAAAAACATTGGGAAATATTGATATTGTAGTTAATCTCAGAAGCGAAAAAAACAAACAAATATCAACATGCAAGGAAATACAGCAAGAAAAACCTCCAAAAAATGTAAAGTTAATCGAGAATTTCCATTTACTAGGCAAACCAAGCAAAAATGAAAAGAAACATATTTTGTCTGTGGAAAAATCGAAACTAATTAGTGTTTTTACGATTATAGCGATTTGTTTTGATGAAGAAAGCGAGATATATATCCCATGATACATTGCAAAACCATTCAAAATGGCGGGCTTGTGATATGGACTATGGCTCTGAGTTCCCAGTGGTTTGCCCAAGCCCTGTACTAATTCACTGCCATAGGGAAACTATAAATGTCACTGAACACTATGGRATATCTTCCTGCAGTGCGAGGGACTATGCATTTTATGAATCGTCGGCGTGTATTTTTTGTTTGTTTTGCTTGTGTGTTTATTTTTGTTTGTTCATTGTTTGTCTTTGTTTCAGATTTTTCTGCTTCCTTCTTTTTCACTCGAGGTATGTCCACCAATTCGAACAATACAATACAATACAATCCTACATATCATATATATTCATGTAATGATTAACTAAAAAAAACATTGAACTTTTTTCAACTTCGCCAATTAATGGTGACATTCTTACTAGTTCTAGAAATTTCTGGGAAGAAAAATCTTCTAGCTTATGTCTTTAAATAAACTAAAACCTTTTCAATTTATACTGAATATAATTTCTATGAGGTTATATGTGACTATATATGATGCTAATGATGATAGTAGAAATAACATCTTTTTATTAGTGTAATAATAATTATGATGACAATAGAAAACGATGATAACTTTAGAAAAGTAATGTCAGGAGTTTATACCGGATAAGCATAAATATCACCCTTCAATAATATACTTACAGTACACGAAGCACTCGTACTCGCTTAGTTGAACGCAGAAGCGTTTGACACTACAGGACGCTATAGCTATATCAGAACCAAAGACGATTTTATACATAGCGTAATAAATSATTCAKCTTTTCAAGCGGTTTTTCATCGAAACTCACTAGAACAAAACGGAARCAAACTTARGCTTTCTCWATTGAATCCAAAAGGCTTAAAACCACAAAGACAAGCGAACTCTAAAGTGTCTGCAGTTTTCAGGTTTCGATGGYCTCTGCAGGTGWGCAAGCATTATGGAGAAGTGCTCCTTATTCGGGTTTTSCGCTCTGTMTTTMATTACTTGAAATATTGTATAAAAGAGCTTGGTGGGTAACCTTTGTGACTGAAGGAAATAACGAGACCCCTTCAGATTGAGGAAATTAATTTACTAAATCTTAGGAAAAAAAAATTCAAATATTCGAATGCTATCGGACTGTTGAATGGTTTCCCGCGGGGGAATGCATTCCGATTTGCGCAGGAATATTAAATTTTGACACAACAGGGTAGATTATATTCAGAGGAGCTTTAAAAAATTTAGTTTTCAAATTTTCGAGTGTTGTTTAGACTACGAATGTTTTGAATTTTCGTTTTTTTTGTGTATGTTTTGAAAGGTTTGTCTCGATATGCACAATGACAATACGTTTCGATTTTACTTTGGCACAGGTAGACCAAGCTATGCAATTTTACCGTTTTTAGTAATTTTGTGAAATATGTTAAGTTAAATAAAATTAAACATCTCTACCTGTTTATCTTTGTATTCCTGTGGAATTTCAGGCCATTTCGAGTTATTTTGAGCCATTTATCACTAATGCTATCATTCGCTTTAGAGTTATGTGACCAGTTAAAGCGTACTTAGCTTTTTTTTGCTCAGACAGTAATTCAACCCTTGGGGGGAGGACTAAGTTTATTATCAAAGGGTTAGGGTGTTCTACCAGTAACCTTTTACGAGTGATCTTATAGTCGATAATGTTTAGCTGAAGGTTAGAGTAATTTTGTTACTATTCCTTGGAATATAGGTTGATTGTATGACAACGATGTCAACCAGAATCTTCTCAAATACTCACAAAAATAAATAAGAAATATGTTTTATAGTTGATAGCCTTTTGAAGAAAAGGTTATATTAACAATATGCTCACCTGGGAATCATTTGGTGCTTTTCATAGGCAATGAGCAAAATCGATGACAAGCCGTTCCCACCCTAGTAATATCTATAATATGTAGGAGTTCCACCCCCTACCCACCTAGGGATTTCAACTAGAGAATGAAGTTTTTTTTTTTAAGACTCTTTTGATCAGTGTAAAAAGCGCTAAAAAGTAATAAAAGAAAATGTAATTCAATTCATGATATAAATTTGAAATTCGTGGGCGAACAGGTCCTGGACTTTCTAATGTCAACAGGAGAAGTAAACAAACCTCCTCCGCAAGCATCTGTTTCTCTCAATCTCTCATGAGTTTTTATGTCTGTGGAGAAGTCCAGTAAATGAAGCCCACCTGCAAGTAGTGTAGTGTAGTGTAGTGTAGGGTAAGAATAACATATGTCGACGTCTAGGGTGACGTTGAAGGAGAGGTCCTTCATATCATCGGACTTTTGTTGGCGCCCGGTACTAATGTGATGTGGGCGGACAGGTCGTTGATCACATAGGCCAACATACTGAAACCTCGACAATTAAAAAATCTCTAACTAATGTACACTACTCATGTTACCATAGACGAAAAGAAATATTTTGTCTGTCCGCAAATGATGATCGTAGTAAACTTAAAGCTTGTAAATTATTTAAGTCAATGGAATATTTGTGTTATTTCGTGTTAAATTAGCGAAATAGTTCCAAATACCGAACAGAAGGTCCGAATAAGAAAACKTTGAGCACTGAAACCKTCCTCACGACAAATTACAATGAAACTTGGCAGGAGGCAATGCTTATGACATGGGAAATGGAGTAGCTGTTTGAGTCGTCGTAAATGGGAATCTAGCTTATGGAAAGCTTATTCGTCTTGGGATAAGAGATATATTATGGATCCCATATGGACTGTTGTTGTTTTAGCCCCTTCGAAGAGCCACAATTCACTCCCTAAAATTTCACAGTATGCAATGTCGTTCTCGTGGTTTTCAACGTTTTTAACAAAGCTTAATATGTAAACATTGTATGAAAGGTAACGGCAATCGAAACGAGTGGATATTTCACTCAGGACAAGCTAAGGGTCATAACATTTCATCTAAATAAATTAGTTCAGTTTTGTGTTAATACTTTGGGCCTTCTATTTGCCAATCATTGACGGAATGTGTTCTGAACGAATTACCTTGTTTAAATACAGCTTCTTGTCATCTTATCAGTCCCGTCGAGTTCTGCACTTAGTTAAACGGCGTATCAGCTAATAGTCTCAAGACAAACGCTTTTATACCTGAAGCAGAAWGCGATATAATGTAAATAAACAATATATCTTTCTCGAGTTGACCACATCAGTTGGCGATTAATTAGAATATAATCTTGTTAGCACCGCCATCACAGATGCCAAACAGCATTGTGGTAGATAAATAACTGTCGGTCTTTGAATTCATCATGAAGATGAGAAAAGCTGAGAATATTGAAGAAGTCAGAATTAATGAAAAAGGGACCAGTACAAAGGGTCACAAAGTCACTTATAATAGAGATTCTGCCGRTTACAATGTGTTACAGCAAATTGCAAAAGTGTTTTCATAGAGCAACAGAACGTTTCCACGTAGSAAAAAAATAACTCTCGAAAAGGACATAAGAGAGCCTCGACAATGAAACGAATTGTTCTAGTGATTTAGAACGATGCAAAAAGCAGTTTTGGGCACCTGAGATAATCTTCACAAGCAGTGGTATGAGCAACTCGCGCTGTGATTGGCTAGTCTRTTACTACAGATTAAGCGATATCACGTGAGTACAGAAAACAAAATGGCGACTAGATCTGAAAATATTTAATGGCAGCAAAGAAGAAATCTAGACATAAAATAATGAAATTCCTTGCTCAACATCGACTTGTTTAAGGATAAAACCATTCCTTTGGCGCCGTTGTTTCGCATTTACGAAAAAAAGAAGACATTATGCTTATTTTGTGACGTAGATTTGCTGGTAAATTTATTAATTTATTGCACCTCATTTTTCTTTTTTCAAACTGAAGAAAGTTGTTTTTTGTCATTTAGTAACATATTTCCCATCAGAAAAATACACTGAAATTTCCWAGAGACTCTATGAGCACTAAACTCAATAGAGAATTCTTGAATACCAAATATACGCAAGAAAAAAAAAACCTGAAAAAAAAAACCATTTACACTTGCGATATTTGGGGAATTTATGTTCAAATTTAACGTTTAACCAAGTGTATTAAAAATCGATTTAATTTAGCTAGTTAAGTTCAGAGTACCTGAAGTCATTTCAAATCCTCTAATTCGAAACTTTACAGGTTCTCAGGGGCTCTACTTGCAAAAAGGCCTTTAATTTGCATTAATCGATTGGTAGAGTGAAGTCCTTAAACCCGGGAAACAAAAACTTGACTTGTGATAGTCAAATAGACACGAAAGAAAACAATGCAATTTTAGCTTGCTAAGTTGTATTATTACCTATTTCACGTCTTTTTTAAAATACGATGATAATTAGAATCTAGACTGATTCCACCAGTGTGTCGATCGTTGCCGAAACTACCCACAAGTCACATACGACTACATACGAAGCGTAACATACGACTACATACGACTACATACAGGTTACATACGACTACATACAGGTTACATACGAGTAACATACGACTACATACGACAACATACGACTACATACAAGTACGAAAAATTAAAAAATAAAACTTTTAAAATGACAAAAATGACCTTGAAAATAATTCGTCTATATCGGTCCAGGACCCTCCAGGACGATCCAAGTCGGTCTGGTCGCTTTTTTTTCTGCTTTTAAAGTGAGAACTTCAAACCGACAAACGGAAACTACGACTTATGGAATCAGTCTAATTAGAATCCTTATGACTATAAAAGTAACTTTAGACAACCAAGGAAAACGTATTTTAAAAACACAAAATTATCTGTCCTAGGTAAACTAAGATTACTTTTATAGCAATATACATTCTAAATTGCCATCTAGTATAATTTGTGGTTTCTGTACCATGTGACCGTTTGATGCAAAAGACCTATTGAACGGAATCCACGCGTCTGCAGTCGACAACATCAACAAACTAGACATCCTCTTTAATTTAGTCACAGTTGATAGAAAATTATTCTAAAAACACAAGGGTTTTAATATGAATCCACGAAACAAGCTGTAGTACTAGTGTAGAGAAATTCTAAGACAAAGAAATAAAGAGCTACTGTACAAAGTGGAGTGCGCAAAAGGGCAAAACGTCAACATTAAAATCTTTAATTAAACAGTAGAAAACAATTCATTAGCACCTTATTATATACTATTTATGTAGCATACTAGAAGTGTTTGTAATGGTTAATAAGAAAAGAGAATTATCAATTTTTCACTTAGGATATCTTTTCATTGCGTAAACCATTTTATTCGTCTGCGTGGAAAATGGAAACGCARCAAAGAACAGGTGAAGAAAGCGAATTTTTCACACGTAAACGTATTTGCAGCTTATTTGTGTTTCTAAGGGCCAAACGACTACGTTTTCGTCGTGTTATAYGCTTTTTCTCTACGTTGAGAACGCAGATAAAGAAGGCCAGSGAAAACTCTCTGCAGATAGAGCCCAGTTAACATACTTCCTAGAGCTAAACACATTTCTWAAAAAAAAAGTTATGAAATAATGTTTTTAGCTTTTTAATTATTAAGCGAATTACCTGAGTGACGAATATATATGTTTTCCTAGCTGATTATACAAACCTAGGACAGCTACAATTTGCGATCTGACATTTTAATATCAATATRATATTTGCATTTAGGCTTAATAATTTTCTAGTGAAAAGGTAATTTTGAAGGATTTTGTTGAATGTAAGTGAGGTTTTGTTACGTGTCTAGTAGCTTTGAAAAACAATAGTGAACACTTTCCCCTCAAAGGCAATATAATTCCTTTGATAACCAAAATTTACAGGCTGTCTAGGRAAGTGTAAATTAGCTACAAATGGCGTCTGTTAGCAAATGTATTCGTATTGATTTTAAAGTGAACCACGAACAATCATGACCACAGCGGGATGGTAGTCAAACAGCTCAAACTAAAGGAAAGGTTTAAATTTCAAGGCAAATAAAGAAAAAAAAACAAGGCAGAATGCTAATGAATAAGGAATTTGAAAAGTGTAAAAGGAATTGAAATCACAAGAAAACATGAGGAAATTGTAAAAATGAAATATAAAATAAGATAAATAAAAAAATAAAAAAATAAGACAAAAAATAATAAAAAATAAGACAAAAAGAAAGCAAGGAAATGAAAAAAATGACAAGATCAGAAAACTATAGAATGCTATAAACAACTTGATGAATCAAGTCAAAACATATAGAAAATAAAGATCAAAGCTTAGGATGACTCACTTTGACTAAAATCGAAAAAAAAAGTATCGAAATAAGAAAATAAAACAATTCAATTAACCGCAAATACAATTTCCGTTGCGACAAAAATTTCATTACGTCGCTTCAAATTTCAGCATTTTCATACMATTATCGATAATGTACTAAAAATTAACAGTTTACTTAAGATTKTTTTCTGAATTAATATRGCTTTTAAAACAATAATCCCTAGTGAGCTATCAGCGCTACAAATAAACAGAAACTAACGCCGAAAAGTACATTAATCTGTTCTCACTCCGCGATAATAATTACCGAAATCACAATAACGTACCAAAAGTTACCTTCTCTCGTGGAAGTGGTTGCTCTCCGCAAAGTCGACGTATCGTCTTCTATCTAATTATTCCACAAGTAACATAGCTTTCACTTTATGGTCACGTGACAACAAACTCGTGATAAAAATGACCTACAATTAACATAGCTATACCTAATTTTGAAACTAAGGTCGCCCAAAAAATCTCAAATACGAACCATTTTAATCTGTTGTTTTAGGAACCCAACTGCGCTGAACAGAATTGCTATCATGGGCAAATTGAATAATTTCTTTTAATGTTAATGTGTTACCATGGAAACTCTTGAGTCAACAATTGGTCCGAAGCAGTGATGACAGATCTAATGGGGGTACCAAGCAATAATGCTATACCTTTTCGAGTGTTTGTTCCGATTGGCGTTCAGAAACGTCCACAATTACGACAAAATGAGCAGATTACTTGAAGAATTCAACTTGAAATGGTCATACTACATTTAAAATGTAATTTTTAGGATAAATTGAATAGACGTTGAATAAAAAAGYGATGCCATTTGCAGTTCGTTTGAGATTCAATCCAAGAAAAATCCATTAGCAACAAGAAAGCCGCACATAYAATGAGCTCTGTGAAATATAAATAAATTGTATATGAGCACATAATAGCTTTTGAAATAAAAAGGAAAACCGCAGCAATTTCTGAAAGAAATATAAGAAAAAACCATGACCATAAAGTCATAATAATGATGAAGACAAGACTCGAATCAAACTTTGAATCTGACATTTGATGGATTCAAAGTTAAAGAGTAGCTAGCAGAAACAGAGGACTTGACCTCGTGATTTGTTTTGATTTGCATTTGTATGCATAAAGCTTTTTCAAAATTCAGAAGAGGTTTTCGAAAGGGCGATGATTGACACCTGTCAAACAGAAAATGTCGGCTGACTGAAAGGAGGCATAATCACCAATCCAAGATCGAAGATACTTTGAATTAGAAGAGGAATTCATTATTAATTTGTATGCATAAAGCTTTTTCAAAATTCAGAAGAGGTTTTCGAAAAGGGCGATGATTGACACCTGTCAAACAGAAATTGTCGGCTGACTSAAAGGAGGCATAATCACCAATCCAAGATCGAAGATACTTTGAATTAGAAGATAAATCCATTATTAGTGCACATACCCTAGATTAAACTATGACAATCAGTTGGAATACCTCGTTGTGCTGTACAACAACATTTCATGCTTGAKACGAACGCCAAACGTAAAAGATAATCACGTGATCGACGGTTCTTAATTAACGCTCCGTTCTTTCGCGTTTGTATATAAATTAGATCGGTTTTTTTAGTGCGTGAGTTTTGTTTGAAGCATTTTTACGTTTGCTCGAATTTAAGAAAAAAAATGAATTAAAAAAATACAAAGCTTAAAGGCGCATGGTCCACCAGCATCCCTTTCGAGCTTTTGCTCATGTTCGAAAATAAAAATACATCGTAATATAAGCAAAAACTTACTCTTTATTATCCCTTTTTATTATAYGGATAGTAGTATTTTACCGGAAATTAAAACACTCGTATTTTCCATATTTTCACTAGTGAAGATATGAAAAAGTTATGTACCAAAATGTCCCGGATGTACG